TTGAGATGGAGTCTTGCTCTGTCGCCAGCCTGGAGTGCAGTGGCACGATCTTGGCTCACTGAAACCTCCGCCTCCTGGTTCAAGCAATTCTCCTGCCTCACCTACCGAGTAGCTGGGACTATAGGCATCTGCCACCATGCCCAGCTAGTTTTTGTATTTTTAGTAGAGACGGGGTTTTACCTTGTTGGACAGGATGGTCTCGATCTCTTGACCTCGTGATCCTCCTGCCTCGGCCTCCCAAAGTGCTGGGAGTACAGGTGTGAGCCACCACGCCCAGCCCGGGTCCCTTTTATAAAGGTGCTAACTAATATCTTTCATGAAGGCTCTACCCTCATGACCTAATCACCTCTCAGTGCACCACTTCCTAATACCATCAAATTGGGATTAGATTTCAACGTAGGAGTTTTCAAGGGTATGAAAAGTTGATAAAAAGTTCAAGGATATGCAGTTGATAACATCAATCAGGTTTTTTCATTCTTCCTAGAGATTAAGTGACATTGACAGAGCAGATGGACAGCCCTGCTGACTTCTTGCTAGTGGTTCATCTTGGGCAATTTACTCTGTGCCTCAATTTCTTCCCCTATAGAAAGATTAATAGTTAATTAGTAGCTAATTAATAACTAATTAATAGCTACCTCTCAGAGTCCTCATAGGACTAAATAAGAAACTACACACCTAGTACTTAGAATGGTCCTTGTCACCACAAAATAACACTCTTAACTTAGCACTAGAAACAGAATTCGACCAAGCGCTGTGGCTCATGCCTGTAATCCCAGCACTTTGGAAGGCCAAGGTGGGCAGATCACTTGAGGTCAGGAGTTAGAGGCCAGCCTGGCCAACATGGCGAAACACAGTCTCTACTGAAAATATAAAAATTAGCTGGGCATAGTGGTGTGTACCTATAATTCTAGCTGCTCGTGAGGCTGAGGCAGGAGAAGCACTTGAACCCAGGAGGCGGAGGTTGCAGTGAGCCAAGGTCGCGCCACTGCACTTCAGCCTGGGTAACAGAGTGTGAGACTGGATCTCACAAAAACAAAACAAAACAAAAAACAGGCCAGGCGAGGTGGCTCATGCTTGTAATCCCAGCACTTTGGGATGCCAAGGGGGATGGATTACCTGAGGTCAGCAGTTTGAGACCAGCCTGACCAACATAGTAAAACTCCATCTCTACTAAATATACAAAATTAGCCAGGCTTGGTGGCACATGCCCGTAATCCCAGCTACCTGGGAGGCAGAGGTTGCAGTGGGCCAAGATCCTCCCATTGTACTCCAGCCTGGGTTACAAGGAGTGAAACTCCACCTCAAAAAATAAAAAATAAAAAAAATATGGCCAGGCGCTGTGGCTGATGCCTGTAATCCCAGCACTTTGAAAGTCCGAGGTGGGCAGATCACCTGAGGTCAGAAGTTTGAGACTAGCCTGGCTAACAGCATCGTTGACTAAAAA